TTTTAAACTAATAAAGCAAAATTGAAAGATTTTTTTCAAATAATCTTGAAAAATATTTAAGGCTCTGTGTCAAATTTTACGTGAATAAGCGAGTTTGATATTTAGAATAATGGCTGTGTAATAGTAGTATTTGTTATGAATTCTTTTAGTTAAAATAGCCACACCATGCATATCTCTCAGCGATTTAATAATGTGATATACTTACTTTAAAAGTGTATTTTATTATACTCGTATAAGCAAGTAATAATTTTTAATATTGAAATCAATTTCTAAAATTTCTTGAAATATTCATAATATTTTAATGTGCCATTTTAAATTCCATAAAAATTCCAAATTACTTAAATTTAAACAGGTGAACAGACAAAATAAAATGTGGATTAGAAAGCCGCCTTTTTAAAATTTTATGCTAAATTTTTTCATATTTTTCATATTTTTTTTTCTTAATAAATACGGAAAAAAAAGCTTTTAAATATAAAGAGATTATCACCGTAAGGCTTGGAATTTATTGATTTCATTGAACTAAAAATAATGTCGATTTTTTTTTCTTCTTATGTACATACATATGTTTTTTTTTATGTTATAAAAATGATAATGACCCTAAATAAACTTCGCATTTGCATAAAAATACAGAAAAAAATTAAGAAATCAGAAAGTTTTGTTTTTTTTTTTTTAACCCAAACAAAATCAAATTTGAATATTTTTGATATTAACATTAAATGTATGCAAATATGTATAGGTATTAAAGATATTTCTTCAAATATAAAAATTTAGAAGAGTTTGTGTGTATCTGTATGTATTAGGTACGAAAAATTTATAGTACAATTTTGAATAGCGGATATTTTGCCTACTCTTAACCATTTCGCGCTTCATTCGGTTAAGTGAATCCGAATCTATCTTAAATACAATTTTTATAATATTTCGACAAATAAATTTATATTTCGCGTAACATTATGAAAACTGAAGACTAAGTTGTGCAATTAGGAATGCCTTATAAAGTATTTTATATGCACAATAAAAAAATACTCGAAAATCTTTTAAAATTTAGAAGAATAATGCTTTTAATTAAGACAATACGTAAAAATACACATTAGTGCCTTTGCATTAGTGCCCATTTGAGCTCATGTTTTTACTGAAGTAAGAGCTGGTATACGCTCACATTTTAATACTGAATTTTTCCATATAAAAAAAATATACTGAAAATATGTGGAAATTTGGTCCATAGAGGTACGATTGACCCCTATGCACAGATATCTAATAAAATTTTTAATAAACAGTGTGAAGGTTAAAAATATTTAAATTTTTTTCATAACTTTTTTACTTATTTTTTAATACAAAAAAGGCTTACGATATAGTATTAGTTATTGTTATTTTGTTAATTGAAACGAAAAAAAATACAATATGAGCACAAATTGATTCCAGAAATTTTTTAGTAGGGTATTGTAAATGAGAGAGGTTTTAATTTTTTGATAACCTCCCTTGTTAATAATTTTTTGTGCATTCAAAAAGTTCAAATTAAAAAATCGTTTTAATCGTAAAATATTTAAAAGTTATTTTTAAAATTTTTTATTCCATTGAAGAAAGTGCATAGAATTCTAAATGTAACTGTAAGTATAATTAATTTGTTTTAATATTTAATTATATAAATTTCGAGCAAAGGGAAGATAAATAGTTTTTAATAAGTTAAGACGCATTGTAAGGGTACCTACATTATACTTAAGATAATGTTTTCATTAAATAATTAACGATTAAATTTTCTACATTTGAACAAATTGATTAAGACTGTTATCAGATTTTATTGAATATTTTATTAAATTTGACCGGATTTTTAAAATTCAATCAATTGGGTTCTTTTAATGTTGTTTTCATTTTAATTTGATCATAGCTACTTTATTTGCCAATATTTTACCATGTTGAGAATTCATTTATTTTCAATATTTCAAATTGTTCTAAGATTATTTAAAGATTTTTTTAAGTTATTGCCGAGAAATATTTCCGCGGCTACCTTAAGGTAAACATAAGTCCTGGATCCACAAAATCCTGGACCCTCATAAAAACTAACACAAGCTTTTCAGACAATGGTTAAGGCTTCATATATGCATTCGCCAGACTAAACCTTTGAGATCAAGAATAGCTTCAATACTGAAAATTTGTTAAAATTATTTTTAAACTTGAAAATTGTTAAGTTATTGTAGGTATAATCTCATTTGTTATTCTTATAGGCATAGTAACACTAAAATTTTTTACAATACTTCAATTAATTTTTTTTAAACTGATAATTAAATTCTTAATAATTCAATTATTCAATTTAATTATTCTCCACTTCACAAATATGTGATAAAAATGGAAACAAAATAAGGAATAATTGAAAATTAAATTTTCTGCTTTTTTTTATTTTTATGAAAAATTATTTCAAAATAATTATAAATAACAATTTTAAGTAATAATCAATCTTAAGTTGTTAAAAGATAGAAATATCATTTGTATTCAAAAACAGAAATTTATTTAGGGTGAAATCAGAAAAATTTGAAGAACTTTCTTTTAAAATTTTCTTTAAAATTTAAACCAGAGGCATTACGTAGCAAGAATTTGGTGCATTTAAGAATTTTTTGAAATAATTAAATTTTTCGAATAAAATTTTTACATTACAATCTTTAATTTCATTATGAAAATTATATTCAAATATTAAAGAATTTTTGCCATTTTTTCATAAATTTTGAAGGGCTCATATTAATTTTTTGCGTTTTTATTTTTCTGGAACTCTTCTGTACTTGATCCTTTAATGGGTACAATATTCTTCAAAAATTAAATCATATTGTTCATTATTGTATTCATCTTTTTATTTTAGTAGAATAAAATTTTGTTTTTTACTTTAAAATTTAAATTCGAATTACTTTTTGTAAGATGTTTGAAAATTTTATTCTTTTGAATATTTTTTTCAATCATTCAATCTCTAAAATAATATTAAAATGTTAAAAAATTCATTTTCATATTTTGCTTATTCAAAAATTTTGGGTTTTGTAAGAAATTTTTTATTTTAAATGGACTTAATGTTGAAAAAAGTTTTATTTACGTTTTAATCATTTTTATTTAAAAAAGTTGAAATTTTTGGAAATTTTCAGATTAATTTTTTTGAAATTCTCATTGATAATTGATTGAGTGAAAAGAAAGGGGAAATAAAAACAAAATAATGAATTCGAAACCAAAGATGGCTTATAAAGTAGCACATTTTACTTAAAAAATCTAATCATTTTTCATCAGCACTTTCGGCGGATACAAATTTCAAGTGGGCTGAGAAAAATTAAAATTTTATTTCATAGAAATGGTTTCCTTGGCGAAAACGTCCATTTTTGTTTAATATTGAATCTACCTATCCTTAATGGTTAAGACCGTCCGTCCATCTTCGGACGGACAGACCGAAACTAATAATCTTGATTTTTTTCCAATTTTTTGTTGAAAATGAGCAAAAAATTAAATGAGAAACTTTTGTTTTAGGAATTCCAGGCAATTAAATTGTACTTTAAAGTAGTCACTTTTTCTTAATAATCCAATTTGATTAATAAACAGATAAGGCAGTTCTGTATAAAACTCTCAATGGTTTTACATTTATATACCTATGTATAAATATAAATATTATTTCAATATACTTATATAGACAAAATAAATGTATGACCCACATTAATATTATTTAAAATGATAATGAGTTAAACATTTTTTTTTGCAAATTGAAAATGATTCATAAAAAAAATATCAGAATTGTAATTGATATGTTCAAGTATTGTTTACATTTTAACTAAAAGTGTGAAAATTATCTATTAACCAGGTGCTTAAATTTAAATTATTAATTTTTAAAGGTTCAATTATTAATTAACCGATTATAATATCATTTATTATTGATTTCATATTATATTCGATTAATTCATTTCATATAGGTAGATAGTTTCTTTTTTTTGGGGTTTTCGTTAAATCTAAAATTTGGGTACATTTTCATGAAAACATGTTTGTTTATTGAGAATATTTGAGAGTTGTTTCAAAAGTTACAAGAACATATTTTTTAACAATTATTATTTCTGTACCTAAATGAAAGTGGTATAGAGAAATTTATTTATGTATTTATAAAGACACATATATATTTTTATTTCTTGCTCCTGTCTAGTCACATTGTTTGATTACTTGAATTATCCTTTGAAAAGGGTAAATACAGATGATATTTATGAAATTTTTATACGAACGTGTTTGCATACTTTTTTGTTTAGAATTGCGTGAGGGAGTGAACTCACTAGTCGCTATTATATTTCTTGTTTTTTTATTAATATGTTACAATATATTACAATATGTACGCAAATCATGTCTAACCAAGAAAGAAAATTATTTAGTAAATCTGTTTGTTGATTGTCATAGAGATTTCGAAAAATATTCTTATACGACTGTTACAGAGTTGACATACTCAATTCTATATTTTCTTTTTATATTCTAGTTTTCTCCAATACGCACATTACATCTTATTAATCTTTACAATTTATATACGGTATCCTATAATTTTTTAAAAAATAATTCTAAAGTTTTATAATATTTACATTGTTTAAATTTTGATAAAAATTTTATCTAATCTTATCTTTTCTCTATGTAGGTACACACAATATTCACAAAATTCTTTAACTACAGAATATTTATTTTTATATTTTTTTTTTTGAAATTTTGTAGTATGCAAAGAAATTTAGTTCAGTTTGAAAAACAAAAAAAGAAAAATTTTATCTAATTTAAATTGATGAATTTTTAATTAAATTTTCAAAACCAAAATATTCTATAATTGAAAAAAGAATATTTTTAGTATTCAATCATTAATTTATTTTACATTTACCAGATTTATTTAATAAATTTCGTGCATTTATACAAAATTCAATTAAATTATTTTTAAAATTTGTGGTAATACAAAATAAAATTTTAATGTGATGGAAAATAAAAATTGATTTTAATCTAATCAATTTCTTTTCAATTTGCAGGAGACAATATTTTGGCATTAAAATCTGGAAATTTATCAACAGATATTCAATCAGTTCATAAACCAATTGCAAATAATATTAAGAATGAACCCTCAGATGACGTAAGTATAAAATGTGTATACGAGTATATAAATTTGTATTTTTTAATTATGATAAGTGATGTGATGACCAAAAATTAAATACCTATGTATACATACATACATATTTACTACAATTTGGTGCAACCACAATTATATGGTTTGGCATGAAAATATGTAAAACAGAAGAAAAAAAAAGTGAAAAATTTTAAGCATTAAATTTTGGTCGCACTATAAATTTATTTGATAATTAATAAATCATACTTTTCTGGTGTGCTTTTGTGATAAAATTTTAATTGATAGATGTTTTAATAATAAAATAAATATAGGCTCACACATATCCATGTGTACATATTAAGACAATATATTGTATATTTTAAATGTTATTTATTAATAGTATCGTTTATATATTTAAAATTATTAATGATTGTGGCAACTGTTCTGTTATTTGCTTTATTTAATTGGATAGGCTCATTGGATAATATTTATGAAATTCGAAATAATGAAATCCAATATTGCACAGATATTAAAATTTTGGAAAATTTTAATATAAATCCATTGTAATTGTGTTCAAAAATATTTGTTAGGTGTAGGATTTTCAATTATATTCACAAATTGTCATTTTAAAACCAAGGATTAATCCGTTGTCTACCATAAACCTTTAAAAAATAGTTTAAAATACAAAAGAATAATTTATATTATGATAAAATAATTTACATTCAATGTTTTAAATTCTCTGAATTGAAATTTAATTAGACGTAATTTTCACTTGAGAAATAGAAGAGAAGTAAAGCGCTTCTCCTAAGAAACGCTTTTAAGAGAAATACTTAAGAGAAAGAAGAAGATTTATCATTCAAACTATTCGTATACAGTCGTACTAAATATAAGAGTTTCTAATATAAATACTGCTATAATAAGAAAATATATAAAAATTCTTTTAATAGCTGCTATTAGTGAAATTACGCGGGCTAAATATTTAACCAAATCCACAAAATTAATTGTTCTTAGACAAAAGCATATAAACTATATATAAATTCAAACTTTATTAAATTATAATAATATTGCCTTTTAATTTATTTTCCTTGATTATAGTTCAGAACCTTAAATTTACCAGTATATAATTTTATTTTAACATATCGAAATTTTAGTATTTATTCGCTGCTATATAAATTTTGGGTTTAGGTACGAGATTTAACTTGTCGCCGATTATCTATACATTTTCTAGGTATTTTAAATAAAAATCCATTGCTGGAGGTTATTGATTTATTTTACTTTAATAAGAAAGTTCACAATATTAAAATAATTTCATTAATTTATAAATTATTGAACGATTTTGATCTTAATTAATTTTTTTATATAAATTCTATAATTAAATATTTTTAATTTTTTGTGTACCTTATAAAATCATTTTCATATTATAGGTAAAAGTAAATAATAATTTAATAGCCTTACGGCGATTGGTTCTAATATAATATATGAAAAAGGACAATGATGCGTGTAATCAATTTATTATAAGAATAAAATTAACAACAAAAAAAAAACAGAATTTCATGTAAATGCTTGGAAAAATCTTGATAATTAATTGTTTCTGTATTAAAGAATGTTCTTTCAATTCAATAAGCATTGATTCCTAAATATGTATGTATATGGTGAGGCAAATTAATAGTAATGGTGGTAAATGTAGCCTTGATCAGATTTTTCCTTAGTTCATTTTTTTCTCATTTATTTCATTTTTACAATTTTATTTAGATTTACTCGTAGATACTTTAATTAGATTATTTGTCTAGACAAGAGAATTCTTTTTTAGGAATAAAAATAAAGTAATGGAATCTTTATCTTTTTAGAAAATGACAATTGTTTTGAATATATACATATATATATATATACACATCTTAATTCATACATAATATTTAATGTTGTAACAATAGGTTTAACATGCCTTTAACCTTATTATTTATGGTTCATTCTATAGTTGACATTTTTTTTTATTTAAGTACATTAATTTTTTTTATGTACTAAAAGATTAAAAAATGCCATTTGTAAAAAGAATTTTAAATAAAATTTTTATTTTAAAAAATATTTATGCTTTAAGTTTAAATTGTAAATTGCCTCTTTAATTCTCTAATAAGTAAAAATTTTGAAATATAAGAAAATTAAGAATTGCGAAAATTCCTTGAATAGTTTCGGTAACAACCAGAACTCAAATATTAAATTTCAAGAAATTTCATCAGTTTGTTATGCAGATATAGTACAAAATTTTAAGTAGGCTCTTGGTTCGGTTTCCGAGCCCTGATCTTTCCAAAAAGAAATATAGGTTCAGTGTTTTAAAATCTCGAATTTAAATTTCTAATTTCAAGGAAATTTGTTGATAATTTCTTCTTAAGCGCTCACATACAAAATTTCATCAAAATCGGTTCAGCCGAACTTTAGATACCTGTATGTACATATAGGCAGACAAACTGACAGAACGACATCACTTCAAAAATGGTTTATTTACCATTCCCTATTATGACTAAGTTCGTTTCCATATATAAATGTTTGGTCGTTGTTGCTGGAAGTTTCTGTTCTAACATAGCGCATTTCTTCAATTGTTTTTTGAATGAGATACTTGTTCAATTAGTTCTACAACTTGTACAAAGAACTTAATCCCTAAGATCATCACAGTTACTTTGATTGTTTCTATATCGGAGTGACTTTGTACGAGGGATTACTGTATTAAAAATATGTATATACTGCAATATAATAAAGATTTTACATTCTAATAAACAAATATACATATATTACTATTTTAATCTCTAGAATTTATTAAATACATACATATTATTTATATAGAAATTTGCCGCCATTAGCATATTTTTTTATTATATCGATTTATATTAATTTATTTACTGTTTCGAATATCGTAACGAAATGTAATAATTATTGTAATTTATTATAATTTCATGTTGTCTATGTTTTTTTTTTTATTTTGCTACACAAACATCTTGCGAATTTTTTCAAGATATACTCATTTCTTTAGTATTTTAGTTCAAGGACGTAGCAGGAAACAATATACTATTTTTATTTTTTGTACATTAATATTAATATATTCTTAATTTATTGATAACCTATCGAATGTTTATATATAGAGTGTTTCATTATTATGTACGTGTTTTATAATTCGGCATTTAAAGTATGGGTAAAAATTTTTAATTGAAACTAGGTGTCAAATTTTATCTGTTTGTATTTCAATATACAGAAATTTCAAAAATTATCCTATTTTGTAATTAATTTATTTTTGGAAAGGCACGCGTTCCAACTCAAAAAGAAACTAAGATAACGAAAATTAAATTTTCTTTGTCCTTTCAACAAACATTTGACTATTATTTTACCTCCAACTTAAGCTCCAAAACCATAAAATACTATCTTTTACGCTCCAGGAGATAAAACAAAGAAAAACTATTTGAATGACAAGATTTTGAACACAATTATTGCGAATTTTGTTTAATATTAATTGATTTAATACTAATTTGATATAGAAACTCTTAGAAATTTTCTTAAAATTTTATTGTTCCGGATTTACCAATTTTTTGCCATTATCACCCTATTGAATCACCCTGATCTGAAATAAGTTAGTTTAGTAAATTCGGAATTTAATTTGAAAAATAAATTTTATGTATTTTTAGTAAATTTATTTTCGAATAATATCAATTTTATGAACTCAAATCAATAATAATTTTTATTATTTTTATATTGAGTTTTACGTATAATTGTATATTGAATTGAAGGATGATAAAAATATAAGAAATTATAGAAATTGCCATTCAATCATGTATAGAGTGAAACACAAAAAAAAAAAAATGATTTTCTTTATAATTTGATTTAATAAAAGAGCAATTTATTAAAATTGCTTTACCGTTCAATGAAGTGAAAAATATTTCTTATTGTACTCATAAGATAGCATTGCGTTCTAATTAAGTTCACAACATTAATAAAATAAAAATTATTGCTCAAAAGATTTTAAAGTAATTTAGAATTGAAAATTTTTTAAAGAAAATACTTAAATCTTCTGTTCAAATAATTATTGTTTTCGTAGCACTTGTTGTTCAAGTTTGTTGCGGTAGGTCATTAAAAACGAGTTTAATTAGCTATGTCACGGTTACTATTTCATAATAGGGCTCTATTCCATTAAATATTTCTTACTTTAGAATTTTTTTAAAAAATTGAAAAAAAAGTGCTTATTAGTTTCACTCTGTCCGTTCGGCTATGTGGTCTTCCGTCTGTCCGTGTTTTCTTTTACAAAACTTCTACACCTCTGACGATAAAAAGCTGAAATTTCATACGTACATAGATCTTTGCTATAGCAAAATATAGCAAGAAATCTATAGAAATTAGATAAACATTTTCTTCCGTAGAAGACCTTCCCCCTTCTAAAAGTTATATAAAAAGTTCTAGGAGTCTGAAATTTTACCAGCTTTTAGACACTAATATTTATTTCGTTACAAATTTTTTCCTTAATGTATGCAATTTTTGAAATACATTCGTATATGAATGAAAGTAATTTTAATAATGTGGATTGTTTTTTAAAACAGTGTTTTCATTTGCTAAAGGTAAAAATGCTACAGTACCAACCATTGGTTTGATTCAACTTAATTATTAATCAATTAATTTATTTGCAAAGATTACGAATATCAATTTTTGACTTTTTTTTTGTATGAGCCGATTAATTTTTGCCAAATTCTAAGGAAAGCGTTGTGTATTTTAGAGTGAATTTATTTTCATAAAATCATTACATTGGAAATATTCGTAATTATTTGTAATATACGTAATTTTTTTCAAGGTAGTCCTACAAGTTCTCAAGTGTTTCTTTTTAACAAAATTTTTCTAACTGCTCCTTTAGGTCGAAAAAATGTCAAATTCAGTTTTATTCTGTTAATTTGATTTCTGTTTTTTTATTTCTGTTAATTTTTGTGAATGCCGGCACAAAAAAATTTATAAATATTTTTTCTTTCTCTTTTAGATTCTTTTACGTTTTATGGAAAGTTTAACATCATTTCAACAATATCCGGTTGTAAATGATAATGAATGTCAAGATTATCATGAGTATCTATCAAAATACAATACAAATGATTCAATATTAAAGGACGATAATCAAATTGATTTTGAAATAGTACGGAATAATACAAGAGAAACTGAAATTGAAAATCGAATAAATAATAAAAATTTTATTAATAATAATATTAGTATTAATGATAAAAATAACAATAATAATGATATATATAATTCAAATACATATATAAATTCAAATATTGAATATATTGATAATAATTGGAATAAGGCACTTCAATTGGATAATCAGCAGTCTTTGTATAGAGATGATAGTTTAAGTTCAAAAGAAAATCCTAGTGATATTATAGATTTTGTTTTGGTACAAAATAATATGGGATCAAATGTTTCCCGTAATTCTTCAAAAAATCAACAAACTGAAACATCAAATCGCCCAAGACGAAGAACACATTCATCAGGTAAATTTTAAAGAAAAAAAAAAAAAATTTTTTTTTTGTTGTGTTGGTTGCTTTAAACTACTTATTTTTGCTTTAAATGTTAAAATATTTTTTTTTTTTGGGTTATTCAGGTGGAAGATTGTTAAGTATACTAACAAGTTTTAGTAAATATTATTTTTTTTTAATTAAAATTTTAGTATTAATGTGGTAGAAATTACTCTTTAGTTACAATTTTATTTACTGAGTTTTCAGTCAGAAATTTATTGAAATTATTATTAATTACAGTCGAACTTCTTCTAATCGAAAAGTTTAAAATAATTTTACTTAATTTTTATGGCTTGAAAAATAATTTAATTTGTCTTTTCGATTAAGAGAAGCTCCACTTTGAATATAATTTTTTTATTCCATATATTTTGAGCATTGTGACGGTAAAATATTTTTGCTATAATAATTGTTATTGAAAAGCATATAATCTTTTATAGCTCAGGTATTTTCAAATGAATACGAAATTTTATACATGATATAAAAGCAAGATGATTTTGTAAGAAGAGAATAAACAAAACTTATTTACACCCCACTCAATTTACCCCACTCCACTCAATTTCTTAAAAAATTAAGATTTATAGCTTCTATATAGAAAAAATATTGAGTATGTTATACCTTCGAAATTGAAATATTTTTAAATTATTTTTAAAGGAGTAATGATGAAGGTGGTACGTTTCACCTAGAGAGATTGCATTTTCAGTACTAATAAAGGACCATAATTGATTTATTCAATGTTCTTTTATACATAGATAATATTAGGCATAATTCGACTAAATATATCTAAATTCGACTATTTTATATATATATCTAAAATATGTGACAAATTTCAATTTTTTTTTTAATTTTCGGGGGTTCTAAAAACACACGTACTAAATACGGACAAGAAAAAAAACATAATAAAACAATTTTTTATTAAAAAATATTTTTAAAATGAAAAATATTCAATTTCATAGTAATTTTTAAAGGACATATGATCCTTTAAGATTATAACACTATAAAAAGTAATTTAAAGGAATAAAAAGACAAAAAAAGAGGGCCCACAAGAAAAAAAAACAAAATTTTGGAAAAACTTATATTTTCCACCAACCTTTGTTTCATTTTTTTAAAACCGTACGAACGTATGTTCGAAGGGTATACTAAATTTGCCTTACCGTTTGTAACGCTAAAAAATAATGGTGTGAGATATAGACTCAAGTGTATGTTTTTGATTAGCGTCGAATTCTGAGTCGATTTTGCTTTGTCTGTCCGTTCGTTCGTCCATCCGTCCCAACGATAACTCAAAAACTAATTCAGATCCCTTAATTCATAAATGGTTCATTATAGTAAGTGCCAGAATCCTATTTAAATTGGATATAATCGGGGTACTGATTCGGGTAGCTGCCGTACAACTATAAAATTTATTTGACCATATCTTAGAAGCTATAAAAGTTATAGTACTGGAATTTTGCACAAGCAAATATGTTAGTAGAGCCAATGTGTTTGATAAAATTCGTTGAAATTGCTTGGCTCTTTCCGGTAGCTGACATACAACTTCAATAGTAGTTTGACGATATCTTAGAAAATAATGAAAACACATTACTGAAACTTTTGCATAAATTAATAAGGTAACTTAAAGTTATAATCTGTCCCATAGTCAGCTTTGACATATTTGTTTGCACATAGGATAGCAAATTTGTACGGGTATCACAGAGTTGACACGGTCAAATCTATTTTTTCTCGTTTTTTTTTTCATTTTTATAAAATTTTTGGTTTTTGTTCTTTAAATGAAATTTTTTACGGGAAATAGACCACATCATATTGCTAAAAAGTCACAACTAATTTTTTTTTTCTAAAAATGGTATGAGAATTGACACAGCCAGAAAAAAAATAAAAAACAATTTCTAACAACCTCTTTTAACAACTGCTGCAAAATTAAGATAAAAATTTTCACAAAAAGAAAAAATATAAAAAAAATCCACACAGGATGTGCCATAATTCATCAAAAATATTTTTGATTTCCTCATGTATCTAGAAAATGTAATGTGATGATATTTGTAGGTTAAATTTAGAATTTTTCTTCATTATATAACGCAAGGAATAAAAATAAAAAAAACAACAAAAGACGAAATTTTATTAAAAAGAATCCTGTATGAACATTTTCTATGTTCTCTATGTTCTCCCAAAATCTGACATTTATTTCATTTTAAAAACAACAACAACACAAAATATATAGAAGAACGAAGAAAATGAGAAACGAGAAAACTTAAATTATTATTTATGATCGGAGAAAATTTAAAAAATAAAAAAAAAACAAAAACAAAATTTTTTGTCCTTTAAGGATTTACACATTTTACGTTTTTGGAAAAATGAAAAAATGGAAGAAGAGAAAACATAGTATATCATTTTTAAGCTATCAAAAGTAATTTTATGTACTTGATTATGAGTTGTGTATATATATTAAAGTAAATGTAAAATGTTGGAAAGCATTACTTTGTTGAATTTTTTAAAAAGTACTTTAAAAGATTACAAGAGTAATTTTTTTTTCTCTTTGTTTTCTTTACAAATGATTGTTTTGTATGCTTATTAGAATGCTATAAAAGAGCTCCATTTATTACATAATATATATATACAAAAATTATTATGCTCATTTTCAATTTATTACATAATATGCATATTACATTATTGATTTAGATAAAAATGTATAAGAGTAACACTCAAAATGATATTGTGAAAAATTTTTCTGAGTGTAAAAGAATTAATTTCAACTCACTAACGTATATTTCACTTATTTCAATTCAATACAACCAACAATGGTTTGATTTCTAACATCTCTTTCTAAGTAGATTATTGAATTTGCTTGCGATTTTTGGGCTAGACTGAAATTGCACTCGTTTTCATTATTCAACATTAAATATAATAGCAATTTGATAGAACCATAAATTGCAATGATGTCGGTAAATGTGTTATTAATTTTAGGAGTACTAAAAAACGAAATTTATTTTAAAAATTTCAATTTTGAAATATTATAAATTTCTAATATTTATTAATCACTAAATTGCAATTATATAACATTCCACTTGATTATTATAGATACACATTACTTAATTCTATAAAATAAAGTAGTTTATATTCATGTATATAAATACAATTAAAAAATATAACAATTAATTATGAATTTGATTTATAATTGAATTTCAAAAATAAAACTTAATTAGAAATAATAAATTTTCTTTTCAACATAAGGTTATGACATTTGATCGAAGAATACTATTATTATTCATCAAGTTCTGGTTTGACTTCACTCAAAATTATAATGTTAATATTAAACTAGTGAGATGCAAGGAAAAAATAAATTAAAAAATAAATTATTCTACATAATTATATTAGTAATAGCACAGCTGTAGTGGACAATCAGATTAATTTTATTAAACTTTTTTCAAATATGGTTTCCTCAAGTCTAATCGGTTGTTCTTTAATATTAGTAATGATAAAATGTTAATAAAATTAAATTTCTTTTATGATATTTTATTGTTGTACATTTTTAAATTTATTTAGGGAATATTGTGGGTTTTTTTTTGTAAATTTAAAAAAAATAATTAATATTTTTCTGATGGCTTGCAATTTATTTGAGTGTAGAAAATTTTTTGAAAGCATATTGAAAAATAAAAAGAGAATACAAAATCCAAAACTATAAATACAATTTTTTTTCAGGTTTTGTAAGAAGATTTATTGACTTCTAGCTGTAGTATGAGAGATAAATAATATATATACTTTATTATACTTTAAAATTTCTTGCAATACATCGAAATTTATTAAAATTAAAAAATTTAATTTAAATTATAGCATATTCTTAGAAAGGAAAAGAGGGAATACGAATGGTATAATCAAGGAATGGGAGACTTACTAGTTTAAAGAGATTCTTCTTCAGTAGCATCTCTACAATTCAGGGCGTTCTCTATATAGTTACCTTTAGACTTTTAATTTATACTACTTTCCTTTTATACTATTCACATCTTTTCATTCATCTTTTTATACTATTTACATACAACATATGAAATTCGTTATATAAACAAATAAACTTTCCCTTGACGATATTTTACGATGTCTTTGTAGTGCTGATTTATCAAGAAATAGTATAGTATTCAAGTATATTGTAATCTTTAATATTGAAGTAATTACTTCCTAGGCGTCAAATGTTGTTGACCTGTAACTTTATTAGTATAAGAATTCAATTTCACGAAGCTCCATTGAGGGCAATTGTAAAGCCTGTTTTCAAAAATTAAGTTATTATCGAACATTATTGTTGATTTTCAATTGATGATGGTTTGCCATAGTAAACGAATCATAATTATCAGAAAGTGGGGACAGTATGGCAGCTCTTTTTAGTTTAGCACGCACAGTTAACCCTTCTGCCAAAGCAGAATAAGAAAAGCACTCCACATTTGCATACCTTTTGTTAAAGAAGAATATTGTTGAATCTGCAATGTATTTCTTTATAAATACTTTTTTTTTTTAAATTTTATCTTTTAGTTCATCTCTATTAATTTTTAACAGAATACGTGAACAAATTGTACAACTTCAAAGTAGAAAATTTTTCTTTGATCTGAATGTAAAATTTGTAAAATTATAAAAATTTCTTAACTTTTGAGTATAAAATTTATTCCATTTACATTTTCATAAGAAATTGTATTATAGTTAAAATGTAAAATTTTATGCACGTACAATATAATATAACTCTTATATACATATTATATGTAGTTATAGAAGTTAATATTTTTGAATATTATTCAATTTTGACATTAGAACAACAAAAAATTTTTCAAAAAAACAAAGCATGACCTTAAACTAAGTGTAATATAAAATATATTTTTTCCGAAAACGTAATTCCTTTAGGCGATATACATAGTCACAAATACAACAATCGAAATCATAAAAATTTCCTTGATTTGACATCAACAACAACAACAACAACACCATCGGATATTAAAGAAAAATTGAACACATTACCAACATCCGGTAATGGGCAAAATCCTATTTTAAATCTTAATAATGCTTTTTTTAATGCTACTACAACAAATGGTACTGGAATCGGTGATAGTAATCAAACAATTAATAATTGTACAACTGATGGCCGAAACGATTTATTAAGTCAAAATCATGAAAATAAAAAGGATAAAATATTAAATCAATATTTTAATCGTTATAATGTTCATAAACAACATCATAAAGTTTATGGTTTTAATAGATCTGTTACACCATCATTATTAATAAATGATACAACAACAACAACGACAACTTCAACAACATCAACATCAATAGGTGGGGTATGCTCAGCAATAATACCAACGGCAACATCGAATGTCACATATGAAGATCGTAATAAATTTCGCGGAAGCCTACCAAATCATTTAGATTTTGATACTTTTGTTAACCATAATGATGATATAATCTTACAACAGTATCGATATCATCAAAAATTACTTGTTAAACAACAACAACAACAACAGCAACAACAGCAACAACGACAACAACAACAACACCAGCAACAGCAACAACAGTCAACTATAACTACTGGAGGTGTTGTAATAAATTGTACGTGCTTTTTCTCTTTTCTTTATATACATACTACATACATATTACATGCATAATATATTTTTATTCGTTTTATTTTTCTGTTGTATACTTAACAGTTCACGGATATTTTTGCAAGTTGTTTATTAGAATATTATTTACTGTCATAATTATATTGTATATATGTTATATTTTATTACAAAGTGTACAGAGTGGTCCGTGATTTAATGTAATTAGGTGAAGTAGAAGAAACATCTATGTTCAGAGTTCTCGCAATAGGTATTTGCAGTTCAGTGCTTTGCATCTGCAATATAACAGGCTTCATTTTTAATAGTGTTTCAAAATAGGAAATTTTGTACACATTTTATGCAAAAAAAAAATCTGATGTGATCAGCACATAACCGACCGCAATGTTTATTGTTTATTAGTAAAAGTATTCCTGAAGATCATAAAAATGCGTTTTAAACACTTCTTTACAATTTTAAGGGCACTAAGCTTTTAGTTAACATAAATAGAAAAATGTTAATTGGCTCTTAGTACAATTTCATTTTGTACCGTCAGAATACGAAAAGTTCGTTAGTAACTTCTGCTAACAAACCAAAACTCAAATATTAAATTTCAAGAACTTCCATCAATTCTTCCGGTGGATATGGTAAAAAATGTAAAATCGGCCCCCAGATAAGTTTCCGACCCTTGATCTTTTCAAAAAAATTACAAATTTATTGTTTTAATACGTATATTAAATTTCTATGAAATCGGTTGATTGTCTCTTTATATACGCAAAAATGTATATTTGGCCCGTAGTAAACGTCCAGTTGCTGATACCTGATTTCTTCCAAAAGTTAAGAGGTTTCGCTCGAATGAAGCTTATATATGGAATTTCAAGTAAATCTGTTTAATATTTTCTTCAAAATATTCAAAAGATATATCAAAAGGTCCAGTTCCCGATGCCTGATACGAGTATATTCCAAAAGATGATCAATTCGTGCCACAGTCGAGATAAACTTACATATAAAATTTCATCAAAATCGGTTCAGCCGAACTTGAGATACAGGTGTGCACACACAGACAGACAGACCGACAGATCGACAGGTTGCTAAAAATAGTTTATTTACACTTCCTTATCATGGAGATGTGCGTTCTCACCGAAAACTAGATATGCAAAATTTGTTGCCTTCACATAACCTACCTATTGTTTACACAATACGGTCGGTAATAACGTGCTAAGGCGTAATTGATATCATATATTTTTAAAGCAACTGCGAAGATAGCGCTAAAACTTCGATATATTAAAATAAATTATTTAAATTTCTAGATCTGATCTCGATTTTGGGACTTTAATTTTTGTTCTTTTATTTTATATTTATTTTATTTAAATTTTCATAAAATAAATATTTGCGTGAATTTTTTATACAGCCATAATATTTACATAAATTTTCAAGCAATTTCGGAAAATAATTACACAATTTTTGAAAAGTAATTTTTTTTCAACAAGAGGACCAATATACCTATTACCATCCCTGTGCAACAATCATCATTGAAATTATCATTCACGGATCATCCTGTATGCATGTATTTATGTATATGTTACATATGTTATATTTTATGAATAGATTCTGTTAGAATTAGATTTATTATTTCAAGACGTTTTCCTTTTTTTTTCCTTTTGGGTAGTAAATTTATCTCTATTTAAGCTTTATTATCACGTAAATTTTTTTATATTATCACAATATGTTTTTGATATTAGTAGCATATAATGTTAGGTATTTTTTGTTATATATATATACATACATATTTTATAAATATGAATTATTATAAAACACAGTTGTTATATAAGTGTATACATTTTCTCTACATTCTTTTCGAATATCATAAATATTTCGTATTTTAGAGTACTCTTTATTTTAGTTTATTATATTGTTATTGTTATTATTATTATTGTAGTTGTTTAGTTGATTACCCTAAAGGTTGAACTGAGGGGGAAATGCTTGTGCCAATGTATATATTCATACATATTTTTATTTTTTATTATATTATATAAATTCTATTTACAACACGATAGTCATCATTTGTAATATTTTTCTTTTCCTCTCATATTTTAGTACTATTACATTTTTTGCTTATTTTGGTTTCCTTTCATATTTCTCCATGGCTTTCGCCTTTCTTTTTTGGTTATATAATTTTTTTTTTTTATTTCATATTTTTATCTGTCTTAAATTTTATTTTCTGGTTTTGGTGTTACAACATTAACTTTGATTTATAAAAATTCCTTTTAATATGAGAATATTTTTTAATTTACACCTAAAAAGTCAAATTACAAAATGAAAGAAAAAAAAGACATAATAAAAATGAAAATGAAAAAAACAAAAAGACATAAAATAATAAATTTCAGTGAATAATCAACAACATCATCACCATCATCATCACAATTCACAAAGCGAAGAACCAAATACAACAGCAACTGTAATAGTAACAACATCAACAACAGTAACAACATCTTCAACTGTAACTGGAGCATCAAGACAGGATAGTGTTGAATACGTGACCGTACCATCATCAAATAATAAAAATCATCAACTAATACATCAGAATTATAATCAGCAAGTAAATCATTTTTCATCTTATAATATTGGTGGTAGTAATGGTACTGTTGCTAATTGTGATGGTATAACTGGAAATGATAGTAATAGCAGTGGTAGTATTGTAAGTGGAAGTACTAGTAATAATTGTGAAAAGGAAAATTCTGCTTCGACTAGTAGCTCTGGTAATAGTAATAATAATAATGAAAACGGAAACGTTATTGGTAACACGTCGAAAATTAAGCAAGGTAAAAATAAAATAAAAATATGTAACAGTAAATCATAATAATAGTAAGAAAATTAATTATTAATGAAAACTTCATATTTTATTCCGGATTTTCTTTTTTTTTCTTCTTTTTCTTCTGTATTACGTTTACGTTTTGGTTTGTGTTTTAATTTATGAACACGAAGGATATTTTAATGTTTACGAATTTATTTACTTATAATGTCGGTTATATATAAAAAAAAAAGGGTATATTTTATAATTGTACTTTAATCAAGGTAAACTTTTCTATGGGCCATATTATATCTAATGGAAGCGGAATGAATGAAAATGAATTATTTTTTGCTTTTAGGAAATATGTATGTATATGTATACTTATACAGGAAATAATGGCTCACAATATTAAAAATATTATTTTAGAGAATTTGTCCTTGCAATATAGAATTTAGACATTTAATGAATATTAAGGAAAAAATTAATTTTCGTGTTTTTGTTTTTTTTTTTCTGGGATCTCCTATATATTTATAGCTTTAACATCTCAAATCCTTCATCATTTTAATTTTGAATTTCGATTTTATGCGAATTCAATTTTGAAAACAAGCATATGGGTTAATTCTTGTATCAAAAATGGAAAATATTTATTAAGAAATTCAAAGATTCCGGATACAAATGGTTGTATCTCAAAAAACGCAAATTTTCTCAAATTATCTCAAAAAACGCAATAATAATGTGATTATCTTTTGGTTCCATTATTTTAATATTTAATAATTGGCATAATATTTAAGATTATTAGAAATGTTTTTCGAATTTGGATTTTGTGTTTCTCTTTATCAAAATCAAATTTTTCACAAATAAATTCCTTTTCTGCACTGTTTTTGCAACATTTTATTTTGTGTGCATTATCGATAAGCATTTCATATAATATTTTGTTAGATTTTACATTGTTCCTTGCACTGTGAATATTTTGTGATGTAATTTATTAACACAATGTTAAATATTAGATAGAATCACGACACTTACAATAAAATTATTAACTATTCTTCACATTTCAATGAAAAATGATTTAAATTAAGTGTTTTCAGTTATATAATTGAAATCATAATATTTTAAAAGCTTCTAAAAATATTTTTGATTAAAGTCTATAATTTGTAAAATAATCGTACCAATAGTAGAAGAACTTTTCTCATTTAGTTTTCGATATCATATTTTTCACACAAATTTTATCGCATTCATATTTTTCAAAGAATTAGAATCAGCTGTGAACACAAGCCGATTTCATTCCCGCTTAGGCGGTACTTTTGCCATAAACTTGTTGATTTCGATTCTAGGATTTAATCATTTTCAACACCCAATATTCTTAATATACGTAATTGTTGCAATTTTGAATTGAAAGTTTAAAATTATATTTGTACAATTATAGAATTTTGCCAGTAGCATAAAAATTGTCTGCCTTAATATTTTCATAAAAATTTTCAAAGGCAAGCAACATATTTTCAACTTCAAACACAAATTTTATAACATTTGACATTTTTATCGAAATTAAAAATCAATTCGTCCTAAAATTTTATGAAATGATTTCTTCTAAAATTTCAATTTTACTGCCTACCCAAGACTATTAATAAAAATATATCAAAGTTCATTGAAAGGTCTCGTTCTCGTAGGTGTCATTTTTTTTTTTTTTATTTTTTTTTTTAAACAGAAAGATGAAAAAAAAGAAAATTTGAAAAAAGAAAAAATAAAGATTGAATAGAAATTTGAATAGAAGATGAAATCACTATAAATCTCTTTATACTTTTTGTTTTTCTTTTCTTGTATTGTGTATTTTTTTGTTTCAGTTAAACCAGATCTGCAATTAACACTTCCTATAACACGTACAAATTTCGATCCAAGTTGTGATCAAGGATATGGTTCTGAAAGGTCACCGGAAGACGAATTACCACCTTTATTATCTAATTTTAATACAAAAGAATTCCAAAAACAACATCAGCATCCAACGATGATGATGTCTGAATATTCAATAAATAATGGAAATAATGGAAATGAATGTTGTGAGGATGGAAATGAATTTGTTTATGATTTTATAACTGAAGGTTAGTGTGTATATGCTTTCTTTCTTTCATTTTTTTTTAATAATAATCATCATTCTATAGTGTATAATTAGTATTATATATAATATATTTAATGATTTTTAATAATGATAGTTATTATTTAAGAAAAATTTGGAAAATACAAAAAATAACTTCATTAAATTTTTTCTTATTACTCAAATAAGGTATTTTGAAAAAGTCTACAAATATATTCAATAATTTAAGAATAGAATTGAAAAATTCTTGAATTTTAGCAAAATTTGTAATATTTGCCGCCTTCAATATCAAAAATTTTGAATTTAAAGTTTTTGTTTACTAAAATTTAATATTATTTTGTGGTACATATAATTTTATATTATATGCAATTGCTTATTTCTTGTTTAAATAAGAAATATTTTTCCTCTCAATGAATTTTTTGCTTATATTTTTGCTTTTTTATTTCATCAACAGTTGAATATTGTGAATTACGGACAAAATTATTGTATATAACAGTTAGCTTGTATATGTTCAATATAACTTGACTTTTAAGAGAACGCAAGCAAATTCTAGTAGTAGATTTTAGAAGTCGATGTGGAGACAGTCAGGAAAATTTTAGAGTTACCTCTTGAACTGAGATCCTCCTAATATGTGAAACTACTAATAATTGGGAATTCCTTTAAAAAATTATATATAAGACTGATGATTACTTTTCCGAAACGCATATTTAGTTCCGTTCTACATTCTTTTTGAGTATTTTTATATTTCTCTACAATAAAATTTCAAAATCTAGTAGTATCTTTCACTGTACATATTTTGCAGCTAGTATAAATAACTTGATTTTTATATTATTTTTCATATTTAACATTTATATTTCATATTTTCGTATAACAACCCACACCAATATACTACCACCAGAATAGAAAATTTTTACACATTATTATTTTGAATATTTTTCTTTTCCTTCCTTTTTTCCTCATTTTATAGTATAGAAAATCCTATGGCCTTTGTTTGACTCATATAACAGCATGCTCTATATGATTTCTAAATTATTGTTGCGGCTGCCTAACTATATAAGCAAGTGACGGCAATATTTATTTATTTGTTATGTTGCTTTTTTTTTTTCTTTCATTGTTATGCCTGAAATTGGAATTTTGCCCGTAAGAAGTTTCACAAAAAAAGGAATTTTTTTTAATTTTTAAGTTTGCATCATTATTATATTTGAATACATGGTACCTACTGTTTGTACATAATGTAGGTATGTGTATACACGTTATATACATATGGGTTCGTTTTATTTTTACATAAATGATAATAGAAAATCCAGCAATTTTTCAATGAATATAACAATATTATAGATTTTATAGAAATTTTCTAAGAGAATTCAGAATTTTTAGAGCCATGTTGTAAAATTTAATATATAAAGCGACTAAGACCGAAACTTGTCATTGCTTTTGGTCCAAAACTGTCTCCTCCTATTCGGGATAGTTTCTAGCAATTGTATGAAAAAAGAATGCAGTTTCGTATGAAAATTTACTTTTTTTTTGTTTGGAATAAAAACTAATGTCAAAATGTAAAGTAATGATTTGACATTTTTGTTTTGATATATAAAAATATAAAGTCACATACCAATACAAAACCATCCTAGTCATGTGCGACAAGCAATTCTTTATCAACCAAAACTAATGTGCGTAACCAATGTTCTTATTTATACAACCTAAAAGGGACGCAAGCAATACTTAGTAATTTGGAAGTTCCCTTGTATGACTTTTGCTACATGTTGTTCTTGCAGGTTTTTGATACTAACAGAAACGACTTCTAAGGTTTTGTTGTCAAATTAAAATAAAATTTGATAAAACTATTAATTTCACGTATAATATTATTAATGAAAATATTTCAAGATTTTTTATGTTAACTTTTGTTGTAATTGACGGTAGTGTATGAATAAAATTAAAAAAAAAAATTGTTCAGACCGACCCTGAAGGAACTTCTTACTCATTTCAATAAAAATTTCCACCAATTAAATTAATAAATTTTGGTGACATTTTTTACGACGGTGAATATGCAAAATATGTGATTGTGAACTTATTTTTGTTGAGAATTTTTTTAGGTATTCCATTTAACACAATTTTTATTCAAACACCACGCTTCAAAAGACGCTGAACAATAATAAATTTACCTTAAATTATAAGTTCACCTGTAGATTTTTTTTTCCGCAATTTTTGAAAATTATATTTTACACTTCTCCTAAAAGTATGTAATAAAGAAAATAAAATATATTACCTTAGAGAACTAAATTTCTATGAGATGTTCTTCTTCTTATAACTTTTCTAGAAAATATAAAGTAGGGAGTGACAAAAAATTTTAATATAATAAAAAATAAAGTTGGGTCAAACCAATGGTTTGTATTGTAGCACTTTTCCCTTCAGCAAGTGAAAATTCTGCTTTTAAATACAGTCTATGTATACCTATCAAACTATTAAAATTATTTTCATTCATATACAAAACTATTTCTAGAATTGCATATATTTAGGATGACGCATATATGCAGTGTTTGAAATAAAGCAAAAATTAATATAAAAAGGGGTTAACATAATGCTCGATTTTAAGGTTTAATTATGTGAGTTAAGAAAAATAATTATATTTTTTAATTTCATGGAATTTACCGTTAGCTTTTTATGTTTATAGAAATTTGAAAAAGCTTGCGGTTTCGGAAATATAAGGTGTCAAAAATTCAAATTTTACAAATTTCAAGAGGCCATAACTTGAGAGGGGAAGGAGATGGAAAAAAATTTTCTTCTAACGAAATGAACTATTTGTTAATGTCTAAAAGCCCATAAAATTTCAAGCTTCTACAGGCTGGGGTCTAGAAGAAAAACGACATCAAAAATTTGGAAAAAACGGACTTTAGATAACGGTAAATTTGAGCGGCCATTTTGTTTTTCTAAAGTTAACCTTTAGTATACCCCGCTAGGGGAAGTAAGCCACTGCCTTTCTGCGTTTGCAAAATTTGAAAAATCCTTATGGTTTCATTGCACTAAATAGTTAAAGAATGGCATTTTTAGGGTTTTGGGGGGGTATAACTTCTAAAGGGGGGGAGATAGGTAAAAATTTTGTTCCACGAAAATAAGTTTCTAGTAAAAATCTATATACGTACAAAATTTCAGCTTTCTATCTTCAAGGGTGTAGAAGTTTTGTAAACAGACACACGGACAGACGGACGGACGGACGGACGGACGGACGGACGGACGGACGGACGGACGGACGGACGGACGGACAGAGTGAAACTAATAAGCACTTTTTTTTCAAAAATTTTTTGGAAAAGTGCTAAAAAGTAAGAAGAAGGCAAACAACAGAATATTATGTTTGAGAGTGTATAAAATCTAAGCATATAAAAGACACACAGTTAATTCGAAACATCACATATATACGTTCTGTATATAAACGTAGAGTTTACCTATCTACTCTATTGGATTAGTTAATAAATTTAGAATTTTTCGGACGCTTTTGGTGAATTATTTATAAATTGCTTTGAAGAAAATTTACTTAATTCCCTAGGTTAGTTTCTGTTTTAATATTTTGCTTTAATATGACTGCCATTAATTCCATGTAAAATAAAAATTTAAAAAAAAAAAGTTTTTTAAAGCAAAATTTTTTACTAAAACTTACGGAAAGTCTTTAAAACCATCTACTTTTTTAATTCGTTATATAATCTTTTCGACAGTATAAAAAATTTTCATTCTTTTTTCAATTTCTACAAAAGCGAAGGAACATTTTTATAAAAATATAATTGAAAATTTAACAAATAATTAAACAAATTTAAATGCTTAAAGCATTTTTATAAAAAATTCGTTAAGAATTTTATACGAATTTTTCATCAAAAGACGTAAAAATAAGAAAAAGTAAAAAAGAAAAGATGGAATTTTAAAGATTTCTTAAAAAAGTATCTTAAAAATGAGCTAAAATTCAATTTCCCATTCCACTTTTCACTTTTTTTTATAAAATATTAAATAAAATTTATATTGCAACGTATTTTCCTTTTCGGCATTTATATCAGGCGAAAAAATATAATAAAGGCTACAGAAATTGAAAGAAAAAATTAAAATTGGCATTCATTTTTGATGACCTGTTTCTGTCCGATTAAATTTTGTGTTAAACGAATACTATGCATTTATTGTTTCGTTTATAACAAAAGCGGAATTTAAATATATATATATCATTTACTCTAAACTACTTATCAAAATTTCGTGAATTTAATCAAATTACTTTTGCGAGTTATTTGTTGAATCGGTGGATAGGTATTAATACTCAGAATCTGGAATTGAGTATAAAAATGGCACGGACTCATTATTATTTCTCGTCGGAACGGAAAAATTAATTCTAATAATGTCTATTGATAATGTTTGTATACAAAACTTTGGAAAAACATTGAAGTGAGCCAAAAATTTTATTTTGTCTGTATAAATTTGGCCAATTACGTATTAGATGATTGCATATTCATAAAATTACTTTTAAAGCTTGACGGGAGTATCCATATCTCATATGATTTGTGAATAAGTGGTTGTATAAAATATTTTGTTAAGAGGAAGGGGTCCATGTTGTTATATTATTTGTTCATTGCAGTAAGTTTTTGAATTTTTTGACGACAAGTTGTAAAGATGGATAGAAATCCAAAACAACAGCTAAAATATTGGTTACATATTATTTGAATTGCTCCCGAAAGTGTGAAATTTAAGAGCACATTAAAAACAGAATTACATTTAGTATACAAAAATGAGAGTCAATTTCGAGTAAAGATTAACAAACCGGTTTTGTGTATTTTAAAATTTCAACTTAAATGAATTTTTCAGCTGTCTGTTGTCCCTAAGATAGACAAAATGAATTTTTTATCTACCCTTATATTTAATCCATTTTTTATTATATTTTAAGGTCAGTCAAGTAGTTCATTTTGTTTTCTCGTTAAATTATGACGATTTTGTTTTTCTTCCGTATTTATTTTCTATTTTCACAAAAAAACAAGAAAAAAG